ATATACATGTATGAAATATAGAGACTTTCTTTGCTTTTAATCAAAATTTGTTCGATATCAAATATTCTGTTTCAGTGGATCAAAAGAGATGACGATTGCGATATGCAACATATTTTCTACATATAAAATAACGTATAAGATAAACTAAAAAAGTATTTTATTTTAATAATTTACAATATTAATTTAACATCATATAAGAGATATGGATCTTTAATCTCATAACAAGTAATTTTTTTAATATATATTCGTGAACTGATTTAAAAAAATCTGTCTTCTTTTAAAAAGATTATATACTTTAATACAAAAAGCCAAGCAACATTCAAAACTGGAAAATATCTTCTGTATAAGTAAGCCATATGTGAAACATTGCATGCATTTAATATCGAGCAGCTTTCGGCAGAAATACAGAAGATACCCATATAAACCCGTATAAACCCGTGTAAACCCCTTCACAAAGAAACATAGGAATATATCAACGTCCTGACATCGAAGAATATTTGTCATGTCACTCGTAATATATTTGGATACACTGAGAAAGTGCAAAGCACCGTTTATGCAGAACGGAGGTGTTTTCGATTCCCCGAGATTTCAGATACTGTCCAGAGGAAAGACGATGAATGTAAACGGAATTCGAGGTCTTTCTAAATAAGAAAAGTTGCACGAACGCCAAGATAGCTGACCCGTCTGTCATTTATCATCGTTCCGTCGGAATTGTTCGGGAAATAAAGTTTAAACTGCCGGAAGTTCTGGCTAAATCTCTAATGGCTTTTCAATGTGCGAAACGCTTGAATTAGTTCATTACTCCTTCCCCGCAAAAGTTGCGGAAGTTTAATTAGAGAAAGTTCGCAGTTGAAAATTATACGTCTTGATGAAAATTATTAACGATACAAGAGTGCACTCTCAATCATATTAAAAACAAAAAATATATTGACATGGATTTGCATGCGTATTGTGAAACTTACAAGAATTTGAAGTCGCATACACTACATACACTTTCAACAAAATCATGACGACAACAGCTTACGTCACTTAAATAAATATCGCACACATTAGCAAAAATTTTGTACCATAGTCGATATCTTCAGTAACATCTAAAATTAATTTAAAAATTATCGATTCCAAAATAAAAGAAACACAGCATCGAGAAGCGCAAAAATGAAATAAATATAAGTTAAATTCTATTCGTAAGAATAAAAAAGTATATATACAAAGAATAATAATTTTAGATATTTTAAGTTGCACTTAGAAAATATAAAAGAAAAGACCTATTTTCTCTCTCTCTTTCTCTCTCTCTCTCTCTCTCTCTCCCTCTCTTTCAGCATTTAATAAGATTAACAAATAATAGAAACTAAAGTTAACAAATAAAAAAACTGATTTCCAGCTTCAATTCGTCAAAATAAACTTCATGTGTCATCGAACGACGCTATAAAACTTCTCGCTGCAATGAAGAGACATATATTCTCTTTCCATAAAATCTATCGCTTATTACTGCCCCTATTATTATTGACGTTCTGGAAGACGTCACCATCGAGGGAAGTTCTTTCCATTTGGACGATATCGTGAGAGTCAAACTGAGATGATAACTTTGTCCGGATTTTTCTCGAAGAAAAACGGGTAGCAAGAAAACTGATATTATCATATCCAAAGAGAACGCGATGGACAGAGCGTCCACAGAAGAGATTTTTATTATATATAGATAGCTATTCGTTTCGACATGATAAGGAGAATCGAATGAAAAGACCACCAACGTTTGGTTCGTGTCCCCCGGCTTATCGGTTAAGCTCGCAATATTTTCAGCTACATGCTGAAGGTTTCAAAATGTCTTTCTCACCGGCGATAATATTCATATAGCGATATAATGCAAGGAGCCACGTCTCATCGCGGGTTTACTTAATATCAGAATAATAGTCGCTTAGAGCTTACGCGAGCGTACATGCTGTACACAAACAGAACTTCAGCTCGCGATGAAGTTACAATGGAGCTTACGTATTGGTGAAACTCCGGCGAAACTTCGCCATCTGAACGCAAAATTTCTTGAGTGTTGTACAACCGCGAGAGATACAGGCGCGAGGCAGATTGCATCTACAACTCGCCGGGTAGGTATTAAATGTCCGCGTCGATGGACTGCTCGGACAAAGTTTGTATATTCATCATTTGGAACGTAGATTGGTTTGTTTCGCGTGCTCGATATTTCCAAGACTTCGGACAATGATTTATTCATTATTGTGTTTACTTCTGCAATGTTTCAAATAAAAAGAAAGCAATTATAATTATTTTCACAATAAAATATAATTTATAAAATTGCAGTCATTCGTATTCCTATTTTGTTGAATAATTTATGTTATGTATTACAGACTATCTATCTTCTGCTTGCTTTCGAATAAAATTTTAAACGAGGGAATTGAAAACAAATGACTGTTTTTCATTTAGAAAAGAACTTTACAAAAGAAACAAACTGCTCCGATTTAGCGGCAATTTAATACCATGAATTACATATAATGTTCGTAAGCGTTAAAAAAATGTAAATAAATACTAAACTTAGTATTTCAATTAGTTTTAAGTAACAAATTTTAAATTTTAGTTACTTTTAATAAATTACAAATTTATATATAAGTGACAACAAATCCTGTATTTTAGTAACAGATTCAATAACAAGCTTCGATAACAATCTTTGTATTTCGATTAATTATAAGCGAATTGTATTTTCGTACAACTTTAAGTCGAGAATTAAGTTTCATGATTAAGTTTCATATTTTATACTGAAATAATAATTTTTCATAATATATAATAATTTTTATTAATGAAATACTATATTAATGAAATACTATCAAATGGTGTAATTACAAATTATATCGTTTTATTTGATATATTAGTAGAACTTCATAATGTAGAACTCCTAAGGTAAAGTAAGAAATAAATAATTTATCAGCTTAACAATATTTATATACAAGTTTTGATTTAGGTGAATGAATAATTTACACACTAACATGAAATTATCTTGAAGATAGTTCGCTCCAATAATTCTGATGTTAAAAGAAACGAAACGCATTCGCGTAATACGCTTTGCTGAGCAGATGATTAGTGTATAGCGCGATAATATGTTAAAAACAGAAAATAGAATTTTACGGAACATGTTTAACCTGAAACCTTATAAAACGCTTCAGACTCCATATTCAATATCTACGATTAAACTAGACAAAGATAAAGCTCTAGATATACAATCAATATATACGATTAACTTTTTGCCAAATATGTCGTAACATATATTTTAACGTTTTTTCTAACACGCGCGTTTCGTACAATGAGATAAACATTATTATTATATTATTTCCCAATATCACCAATAACAATAATGCAGTATGAATTAAATTAAATGCGCAATTATTGTAGAGAACATTATATTGAAATTTTAAAATTTATTTTATACACATGTTATATGAAATTCTATATTACTCTGAATATACGTAACACAGAATTTCCGATATTATTTCAAAGCACGAATAATTTTCTCTCTCACTATTTCTCTTTCTCTCTCTCTCTCTCTCTTTTATTTGCCTTATTTCTTGCATACTAGTATCAAAGCAAAGGAAAAGAATGACTACATAATGTGTAATATCACGATATTCCTACAATGGATATATAATTTTTATTACTTTTAGATCCTTTTATGATAAATATCAATTTAATAAAGTTACAATATTACATATTTTATCTTACTTCTCATAATTTCTATGTCGATTTTACATATTATTTCATGAGTCTACCTGTCTACCTACTACTTTTTTACTTTCTCTCTCAGATTATCTCTAAGAGATGAAAAAATTACAATCAGACATTAACATATTACTAAGTTTTTATAATTAGTTATATAGGGATCGCGTCGAGAATGGCGCAGAGCGTTATTTGAAGAGAAAAAACACAGCGAAGGGTAAGCTGAGATGAAGACAAAAAGACAAGATGATTCTTGATACGGTGAGACAGAAAAGTCGCGCGTCGTTCGCATTCGAAGGATGCCTTCCTATGGCAAATCATGTAGTCGCTCCAGGATGACTTTGATCAGCGATGCGATGCGAAATCACCTCACAAAGCATGACTTTAGACAAAGCTCGGGGTTTTACTCGGCGTATTCGGGTCAGATGTCAAATAGCTATTCGCCGGCTGGCGAACACGACGCGTCGCACCTTTGGCTTTGAAACTATATATTAAATTACCGAGCAGCGTACCTGATGGTGGCCGAGAATATATCTGCTCGCTGGGTTTGCAAACGTAAGGAGACCACGTGTGACGTGAGGCACGTCTCTCAGAGGATTTCGAGTTTGAGTCAAGGCGGTTACGAAGCTACGGAGCGAGACGGGACGACGGAAAGTGACGGAGAGCCGGCTGTACTTATATAAATAACGCGTTATTAACGGCTTAAGCGGATTATGAGGGATATAAATTCGCAATCACAAACAACCGGGTATAACGAAAGAATATGCGATCTAAAATCTCGGAAAGGATTTACGTCGTCGAGCGTTTGTCGAGCGCGTAATCGGATATAAGTGTCGCTCGCGTTTTCTTTGCGCGCTCTCGTATGTTACCTAGATGAAAATCTCCCCGTATTTTAGCGCATCGTTTTACCATCTTATTGTTGTCCAATCGTTTTTCTCATTGCATTATAGATTTTACAATGCCTGACGATTCGAATTTCCAATATTCGCGGATTCCCCATATCGTCGCACCATCAGTTGATCTAATTCACGATATTTCCACGTCATGAAAACGCGATCTTCTCTTCTTGGATGGAAGTATTGCGGAGTCTAAATGCGTTTCCCCGAGTCAATCAGACGCGCGGATTTTGTCGCGTATCGTGTTTAATCGCGCGGAATGATCGACGTGGTGACAAGTGCGCGTATCCTCTTTGGATGATTCACCGGGGGGCACGGTAGTCATTACACGCCTCATTACAGCAGTCTGCGCCAATTCGTGTCTTTTCAAACAAAAAAACCTATGGTACTCACCTTAAAATCGATGTAGCCGTTCTTGTCCATGTCAAATGTGCGGAACACGTGGTCGCAGAATTCTTCCGCGTTGCCGGACGGGAAGAACATTTTATACATGTCGACAAATTTCGCCGGCGTTAACCTGCCGTTAGGACAGTCTTGCTGTAACATTCGAAAAAACACAAAATAGTGAATTCTCTGAATTATAAAATTTTCCTATATGTTAAATGTGTAACATATCTCTATCTAATTTATAATTTTTAGACAATCTTATTTTATTCCTATTTATATATATATATATATATATATATATATGTATATATAAAATAAATCTCCCTTTGATTATTATTAATATACTTGTAAATGTATACGATAGAGCTCAGTAAAAAATTTCCTTTGTTTTTTATCATATTTCTTGCTCCATCTTTTTTTCATTCCTAAAATATAATTATACATATATAATTATAGCTACAATATAGTACCTACACGAGTAACAAGTTTAGATCGCATTGTGTTAATTATCGCAATTATTTGTTCTTTACACATTTTTGGTTTACTCTTCAAAATTTTATTTCTCTCTTATTTAATTAATGCTATTTTATACAAACATATTAACATTTGTTCAATTAAAAACAAAAAAATTAAACATGTTATATTAACATAGAAAATAAGTTGCTTAAAATGCTATTATATTTTGCGTAATAACCAGATGGATAAATATTACTTCAACGAAAATAGCTCTTATATGTGCACACCAAAGTAAGAGTGTCGCGTTAATATGTTTTTCATACACTTAAGTATAAAATTTATTAAATATGTGGAGATTTTTATTAAATATAGAAATATACATTAAATCAGTCTGAATAAAAATACTATGCTAAAATTATATTGCGTTTAAATCAACCGATTTGACTAAAGTAAGACTTTCATCTCCGCGGCGAATTCTATCGATCGCGGGATAAGTATCTTCGTCTTGCTGGTTGAACGCAAGATATGAACCCCTGAGAAAAATATCGCATCATTTCAGTGTCATCTCTCCCTTCGTATCAGATTAGCCTTGATTTAGCACCGTTCGTTCCAGCCTTTTTACAAAACGAGCGAACGGGCGATCAAGCGGCGTCGCTTCCGCATTGGGATATTTTTCAATCTCCTTCTTCTCACCCAGGTCGATATGTGGTGATCATCAGTCTTCATTTATTTCAATCCACAGACTTGACGAAGTCGCGTGTAGAATACATTGCAAATCACACGATGAGGGAGATGCGCGGGCAACGAGCCGCTGCTGTTGCAATGCGACCGAATTGCGGAACGTCCACTCTAACGACTCAACTCAGTTTAATTAGTCCGGTCGACGACGGATCCGCGTTTAAACTGTTCGAGAAAGTAACTTTTCCGCGGGATTAGCTGCTTCCGCGAAAACGTCACGTCTCACTCTCGCGATGCAACTCACGTCACAGTTCGTGCGAGTCAGTTCCCCTCACCTTTGTAATCTAAATTGATTTATCTCGCAAGAATACTCGCTTGAAAATCTTGTTATGGCGATACGGTACTGTCTATCGTGTCTATATCTATAAACTTGACGCTATGTGTTAATACTTGAAAATTAATCGATTCTTAATTTCAGACTTGAGTGACTCTTGCAAGATATCATTTTGTAGCATTCTGCATATTCGTTAAATGAATTTAATATGCATCAATGATTGATGTATACATATGTATAATGAGATAACGAATGTTTACACGATAGTGTTGTAATATAATAACGTAATTGTATGAAATTATATGTATACAATATTATAAAGACAGCCTCAAGCAATGCTGAACTGTATCGATGTTGAATAAATATTTATACTACATGACATGCCATATATTATATATTGTATATACGTATTATTCGCGAATGCCATGTATAAATGTATGAATGAGATAATGTGTTCTAAGATAATAACGCTCTAATTAGATCTAACAATGATCTAAATGTTAATGGACTAAATGTCAAGTTTGTCATGTACGAAAAGAATGACAATTTCAATTTATTTAATATTTAAAATACGTATTACATAAAACTCATCGTGTCAACGTGGTTTATTCATAGACGTCGAATATGTAACAAATAAATTAATAATTGCTATGTAATAAATAAATAAAATATCATACATTGAATTAATTAGCCTCGGTATCATCTCACACGACTATTTTTCAATAGGTAAATAATATATCGTAATATATCATAATGATATAATATTAAATTATTAATCATACCACATATCAATTTTAAATTATTAATAAGATGTGACAAAGCTTTTCGCAATATGTAATTAGACAAATAATGTCATAACATCATCGAATACCTTTCATTTATATAAAACGTATTCAATTCAAATAAGCTATAAATGAAAAGATTTTTTTGTTGATATAGGTATATGTTGTAATTGAACTACAAATTCTTATTTATGAAATTTAACCGTGAACCTTCGTATGATTTATATTCAAATTTATATTTATAAAACTTTATTAAATTGTTAAAAATATTTCTAAAAAATGTTATTGCACCTAAATTAAGTTTCAGATTTTCAAGAATAAACTATGAATGAACATGTTGTAATTTAACTAGAAATTCTCATTTACGAAATTTCATAACCGGAAACCCTTTATGATTTTGTATAACCACTCACTGTTTCCTTACGAGAAATGAGAGCTTTCGCGAGAGTTACATGGCCGCGCATGCATGTGAAATATCGCGCAGCATATTTAATGTGGCGTAATTGCGCATACGGGTGGCTGCATATTCCAACTGACGTATCACAGATGTGTATGTTGCATTTATTAACGAATTTGCATCAATTTTATTCACATAAACGTTCATAAATATAAACAGTAATTTTCTATTTATTGTGATTACGTTGAACAAGCACAAGCCATTAATGGTAATTATCACTCTCTTTTAATGCAACAGGAAATCATGAAATATTCTTATTCATATTTCCAGAACATTCAGAAAATGAATCAATTTTCTAGTTTATATATATCTTTCCCTTTTTATCCATACGCTTTCATTTTCAATAAAGCATTACAGTTGGGAACCCATTTATATTTGTCACGAAATGTCTATAATAAATCTTAATATATAAATGTAATTTTTTTCTCCCATATTTTATCGTAACATATATGCTAAATGTTAAAAAAAAACAAATCTATAATAAAATCAAGTAATGAGATGTGATAAAAAGTTATTTAAAATAAAGCATAGATTAATAAAAAAGAATTAACAATCGCGCAGAGTAATTTAATAATAAAACGAATATAATTTATTCGTCGTGTAAAAACTGTTAAGATATATCTATTATTCTGCATCAAAGAAAATTTAGAGAGAAACTATAATTGTAAATAAACGTTATTTATTTTTTATTTATGAGCAAACTCATGTCCTTTCTCATCATGTATCGTACTCGTTATTGTTATTACGCACAGATAAACAATGGAAATACTAAAATGGCCTAAGAATTCTATATTCAATAGATCACACAAATGAAAGTAAAGCTCTTAGCAAAAGATAGAAATGAAAACAATTCTTTCAACGCTGGAGATATAGAGTTTGTGCGAATAATTTTTCATCACTCAACAAAGCACTTTCAAGTGTCTTTTATCATCACCGCCATAATACATCATAGGACGCGATTACAGTGAGAATGTACGGAGAAAAATTGAGGTCGCTACGAAATATACGAAATCATCACAATTGCGTATTTAACAAAGCATTCAATTTAATTTTCGACCCATAACTCAGCAGCACTCACAACTAGCATGATATTCAGCAGTTCTCGATACTCACTTTAAAACCTTTGTACCATTCCTTTATGGTCGCTTCGTCGTATCGCGTATGCGACTTAAGGAAGTCCATATCTTCTTTGCTCAACTTGTCTTTGCTCCCGAAACAACCCATTTTGATATCTGCAACAATCAATAAAACATTTCGTGAGAACAAATGTAAAATTTTCGATAGCAGCTATTAAAAACACTTTTCATCACAATAAAAGATTACCAATTTATATTTAGACGATCAATTTAATTTCTAGGCGCAGTCGGCGCAGATGAACGGAATAATCAATTTAGACAATTAATTTAATTTCCAGAAGTAGAAATTATCTCATATTATTTCGCTCTGTATTTCAAGAAGTAAAGTCTCGCAGCTTTCATCTTAATGTGTATTTTCAATCTCGGGTTATATGTCTAGATTAACAATTTCGCCCACCATGCACTACCACGCTTTTCACGAACGATAAAACCTTCTGCGCGACAAGTCTGAGCTAGCCTTCTCGCGCGCCGCGCATATGAAATATTGGTGAATTATGTTAGCAGCATTGAACAAGTTATAAAGCCGGTTATAAAATAAGATAGGTATGTAGTTGGATGTCTTCTACTCCTGTAACTTTATTTTACCCCATTCCATATTTTATCAGGGCGATTGCACACTTCATCTTCGTAACAGTCAATGTTATCGATCTTTGCAAAACTTTACAAAGTTTCGTTTAATTTAAGTGCTACTAACTACTAAGTACAATATGCTTATGGACAATATTATTGTAATTTGTTAGTGGTCTTAACACATTACGGCACACTATAAAATTTAGTAAAAGCGTTATTCATTAAATAATCTCAATAGTGAAAATGTATTGTAAAAATTGTTATCCCGAATACTTTAACACTTTTTTAAAGAGTATTTTAATAAGTATAAGCATTTTTGGAAATAAGAGTATTTTAATCTTAAATATTATAAATTTTATTTTGTTATTTATATATAATTGTGTATAAAAGTTGTACGATACACACTCTTATATACAAAAAATAATCAGGAAATAATAGTTTATTGCAATATTAACAGGTAAATTATTAATATTAAAATATTCAATAGTTGAATTAATGAATTTAAGAATTTTACAATAATGTGAAGTTACTATAACTTATTAGTTCAACTTATTAGTGAGAAAGTACTTCAACTTATTAGTAATTCCGTACTTCAACTTATTAGTAATAATAAGTTATGAAAATACTAAAATATTTTTCGTGATCAACACATATGATAAATTCTATACGTTTTTGATTACAGGATTAAATGAAAAATATTTTATTTTTTAATAAATGTTATTTTCATGACTTTCATTACCCGCGTTTCATTCTTGAGTGAAATGAAATTTTAATGCTTTAATTTTTTCCCCCCCAAAAAGAAACAGATTAATGGATCAATGTTTTCCAGAAGATAAAAATAGAAAGGTTTATTGCGAAATAAGTTTCTAATTTTCTCAGAAAAAAAAAAGAAACCAAGTATTAAAACTCCATTTTTGTCTATAATATGGGATAACGAACATAATGTTCCTGCAGACTAACAGATTTCTTGCAAGATTTCGCGAAAATGCATATAATTGATACCTTGGTCCAGCAACTTGCGATATAAAGCGATCTCGATAACGGTTACACGGAAGTTCTTGCCTGTTGTTACGTGGTAAGAGACTTTGTGTTCGTAATTTTCGAGATGTCGTATATCGCGGTGTACCATATATTGCATGCACATAATGCACGCAACGCACGCTCATCGTTGCACTCTCGACCGAAATTCGAAATTGTCGGTAACATCGCCATAAATGGCAGGATATCGAAACCGAATGCGTGATCAGGATGACGATGACGAATGACACAGGCATACATGCACTATTTAGGAAAGACAAACGAGCAAGATGCTTTCAACAATTCTTGGGGGAATTTATCAGAAATAAGCATCCGTATTTAATTACGAGTGACTAAAAACATTTTATTATAAAAAATTTATATTAATCTATTTTATATACAGCAGTAATTTATATCACAATAATCGCTTGATGATTCTTTTTCAGTTTATTCGATAGCTAGCTATTTATAGAATATGTATTTAATCTCTGATTAATTAGACTATAATATCATTTCTATTGTAAGTAATAAAATACGTTTTGATATTCTTTTTCCTTAAGCTCTATCTCGTAAATTAAGTTTATGTATCTTTTCTAATTATCGTAAAAATATTTTCCATTTCTTGAATAGTGTATCCTATAAAAATTATATTAAAATAAATAAATAAAACTTTCTAAAAAAATTTATTAATTCCATTATTTCCTCTAATGTTATAATTGTAATATAATTTTAAGTTTTTGCTTCATCAGCTTTACTTAGGGTCAAAGGAAGGAAAATATATAGGCCACTTATAGCGACGGGTTCAATGTAGGGTTACGAGTGTAACCTCGATCCATCTCCGATAAAGGGATTTATAATTAAACCTGACTAAAATGATATAAATAGCAAGTAATTTTAGCTACAAAATTAATTATAACTAAAGTTGACTAAAAAGGAACTCCGAATAATTAAAAAATGTAATATTTTAATATTATATTAATTCGTAAAATATTATAAGTCTCCCACATAATTTTCATCACAAAGTGATATCGAACTTTCGTGCAGATATAAATGTCAGAAATCAATGCCTTTCTACTTTATCTGAACAAATGTATAATGTATAAGCACGATGTTCAACTCTTTTGTTGCTAAGATCTTTAAAGACGCAATATGCATACAGATTAATTGTTAATTTTATCACTGTCGAATACGTAAAATGCATATCGAGGAAAAATTAATGCAATAACACTTCAATACTAAAATTCTATAGTAAATAGTTAATTAAATTTAAAAAAAGCTTGAGGATCTCGATTAATCCTAAAGTCATATAAGTATCGTATATAACAGAATGTTCAGCAACCTTGATCCCCTTCGTGTAATACTTACAGGTAACACATACATGTATACCACGATAGCGGAGAAAGAATTAATCATTATGCCGACGTTGACGCGCGAGTAATGTCGTAATGAGCTTCAGTCGATACGCGGATGGAATTATGAGAAACTCACTCGTTCCACGTCAGAACGGAGATGGTAAGGGTGGGCCGAGGGATCGTTTCGACGAGGAGGAAACGGCCGCGATCGTGACTGGCTTGGGGAATCGACGATTGCTCGTGGTCGGCTGATTTAATGGCCGGTACCGGGTGATATGATGACGCATCGCGCGTTGGGTAACAAAAGAGCGGTCGACTCCGCTCTCCGCGTGGTTCGCGAACGTAATACGAAAATGTGAAACACGTAAACGTAATTAACGCCAGCGCGCTTCGCGGTGGCGGTGGCGCCGACTGAACGTCGACGAAGTCGCGACCTGGCCCGCTGGCGGCTATTTACGAGATTAAGCGCGCGGATGAAGATTAACGGGGGACCGCCACGGCGTGTTTATACGTGCTCGAGTTTCGGGAGAGTCGTCGATTATTCCACGGCAAACCGCTACTCGAGTTAATGCGCCACATTCGCAAACTCCAAAGTTCTCGTTCGAGAAGAAATTACATGCCCGTCTTTCTCTCTCTCTTCATCTTGGCGAACGCTTTAAACTGTTGCTAAGAGATGGTAGACACACACATTCACTGTATATTAATCATAGGAAGGTTCTTTCGCTGCAAGTTTTAACGACCTATAGAGAACCCGCGACGAATCTCGCCAGAAGGAATTTATCGATCGTGCTCCAGATGCGAAGGAGATATTATAGTTGTTGATGTACCTTTTCTCTTTGCATTTGTGTTTTAAGAATTTGATCTCTCAGAACTTCGGTAAATAAATTGAGAAAATTTGCTTAAAAAAAAATTGCGTCATCGATTTTTATAATCCGTATCTGGTGATTATTTAAAATCCAATTGTTACTAAAGAGTTGAACATTTTTATTGTACGCTATTTCGTGATGTTGTTCCTTAACAGCAACAGATAACGATGCGAGGAAGAAGCTAGGCGCTGGGGCTCGGAATGGCAGGGAGATTATAATTGCTAATAAACTCACTTCTTACTTTCTTGTTATGTTTGCTATTCGCAAACTCGGCAATTAAACGAGATTGCTACTAAAGAATTAACATATTTGACCTCACAGTTGTATTCCTCTTATTGTTAGAGACATCATTAAGAGCGAGTTTCAACGACAGTACTTATAAAAAAGTAAAACTGTAAGGTCACGAATGCAATAACCTCGCGGTGATAATGGTTAACCGTTATCATTAGGAAGTCATTCATTACAATAATTATTCTATTAACTGCTCTATTATGTAGGGGAATGATAAAGAGGAAGTGATTCAATCTTCAAATAAATTTTCATTCAAGTTTCACAAATCGTTCTAATGCACGAGGTGATGGCAACAAAGATTTTTATTAAAAAACATTTTCATTACTTTAAAGTACGGTGAAAATATTGCACCCCTACGTAACATCGTTACGTCTCTTCATAATAAAAGACGTTTCAATTTATTTTATGACTATCATTATGGAAATCTGATAAAAGCATTGAAAGTAAACGCTCCCATTTATTTTATAATCAATTTATTTTATGGAAAGCTAAGAGCTTTCCATAATATTATTATTATTATTATTCACGGCCGTCGCGACTGCTGCAAACTTTAGGACTATACACGTACAATCGTGCATGAATTTCAATCACGAGGATCTCGCCGGAACTCGCAAAAGCAGCGACGGCTGCTGCGCCTTGCGTACAACCGAATACACCTGCAACCGTTGATCCTGTACGTGACGAACGCGCACGTGAAGAATATTTATAGCGCAACTGACATTATCGCGCGACCGATCTGGTGCCTTTAGCGCCGACGACCACAAAGAATTAACACCGGAACGTCCGGCCGCGCCGCGTCGTTGCATCGGCGGTTGCATTGGCGGTTCGCATTGACATCCGCATCACACGCGTCGCATATAGTCGCATTGTCGTCCACGCGAAACGTGCCGCGGCGCACGACACAGTTTTGCGCGCTTGTACGAGGAGAAAACGATCCGTGGTGCGTCCGTGCGCGGCCTCTTTTGTCTTTCCCTCGTTTGTTCTACACTATTCTACAGTG